AATAAGAATTTAATAATTTAAAATTTGTCTAGTGTTGGATATATTTGATTTTTATTAATAACAGTAGTTTTTCTTTCTTATTTTTTTTTTTGGTTTTTTAATTATGTAATGTTGAATAGTAATAATGTGTTGACTTTAAATGAGAGACTTTATTTTTACTGTTTGATATAGGAATATTTATTAATATTTGGCTGTTTTTTTTTTATTATTTTTGCTAGATATAAGTTTGATGAATTGATGGTGTATGAGGTTGGATATACTTTTTGCCTCTGTTTATGAGTAGTAAATTTTGAATTCATTTTTTTTGTTGTTTGTGGGTAGGGTTAACAGCTGTTCATTCATTTTGGCATCTAATTGAGAATCGTATTTTTATAGTTTAATATCTTGTTAATTTATTGTCCTTCTGGTTCTTGTTTTATGATTTGTGATATTTGTATTTGTTTGTTGTACTGTTGGCGTTTTGGACTTGTATATATTTTATGTGTATTTTTATGTTTGGTAATTCTTACTTCTTCTTGGTTGTTTGTAAGTAGGGTTGAACAGCTGGTAATTTTTTTTGTTGTGATTTGTATTAGGTATTTGTTTGGTGATTTGTCTTTTTTTTGTTGATGGATATTTTTATTGTCTATATTGATGCGTAGGTATTCTAGAATATATTTTATTTGGTTGTTTTTAAGTAGAGTTGAACAGCTGTTCATCACCATTGGCTATGAATTAGGTAATTTCTTTCACTGTTTGATGTAGGTATGATTTTTGTTCTTTGGCATTTTTTTTCTTTTTTTTTTGATTTTTTTAGGTATTTGATATCCCCCAGGGGAACACGTTCTTACGTGTTTACGGGTCTTAGCGAACCCGGGGTCCCGAGCTCTTGTTGGTTGTAGGTAGTAATGATCAGCTGTTCAACTGTTTTGGTTTCTAATTGGGGATCTTCTTTTTACAGTTTAATATCATGTTGATTTATTGTTCTTCTGGTTCTTGTTTTACGATTTGTGTTAGGTCGGTGTTTGATATCTATTAGTCGGTTTGGTGTTATATATATATATATATTTTTGTATATTTTATGTTAGATTTTTATATTTGATATATTATATTGTTTAGATGTTTAGTAATAAGTTTTGAATAGTATTTATGTTCTCGTTTCAATTTAGGAATTATATTTTTACAGATTGATGTTTTGTTGATTTGTTGTTCTTTAGGTTTATGTTTTAAGATTTTTGATATTTGTATTTGTTTGTTGTATTTTTGGCGTATTGGATATATATAATTTTATGTGTAATTTTTTGTTTGGTATTTCTTTGGTTCTTTTTCTATGTTTTTTTGTAGTTCATGTCGAATAGTATTTATGTTTCGGTATTTATTTAAGTATTATCTTTTTATTGTTTAATGCTCTGTTGATTAATTGTTCATTTGGTATTTGTTTTAAGATTTTTGATAAGTAATTTTTTGTTGTATATATTTTATTTGTATTTTTATGTTTGGTAATTATTACATCTTATTGGTTGTTTGTAGGTAGGGTTGAACAGCTGGTCATTTGTTTTGACTTCTAATTAGAGATCTTCTTTTTACAGTTTGATATCTTGTTGATTTTTTGTTCTTTTGGTTTTTGATTTAAGATTATTGATAGGTAGTTGTTTGATGTAAATTTGTTTTTTGGAGTTGTATATATTTCATGTGTATTTTTATGTTTAGTAATTCTGACTACTTTTTGGTTGTTTGTAGGTAGGGTTGAACAGCTGGTAATTTGTTTTGGCTTCTAATTATAGATCTTCTTTATACGGTTTGATATCTTGTTGGTTTATTGCGTTTTTGGTTTTTGTATTAAGATTTTTAATAAGTATTTGTTTAGTGTACTGTTGGCGTTTTGAAGTTGTATATATTTTATGTGTATTTTTATGTTAGATTTTAATATTTGGTTTATTATATTGTTTAGAGGTTTTGTACTAAGTTTTGAATAGAATTTAAGTTTTGGTTTTTA